CACTTTACTTTGCACGCTGCTTTCGGCATGGTTTGGAGCGGTGGTTATTACGATGGAAGAAGGCTGCTGCAGGTCTAGGCCTTCAAAGGAACTGTTGCATTGCTCAAGCACGGGGGCAGAAGATGACTTTTTCAAAATAGCTTCATTCCGTGTTCCATGAACAGAATGTAAAACCACTGGTGGATTGAACGATCATGATTGTGGGACAAGCATAGTAGGTTTATTGTCTATGTTATTGAGCTCCGCAGGATCCTTTCGCGTGATAAATCGAGCGGCATCAACTGCCGGCTGAAATTTTTGAGGCGGAGATTTCATTCCCACCAGCTTGAGAATGGCAATTCTGAAACGGCGATCTCTATACCAGTAGAGCAGCGGATTCAATAAAGAGTTCAGTTGCGTTGCTGCCCATGTAAATCGGAAAGCGACATTTGTATTAAAGACCAAGAAAACGTTTCCTAAGAAGGCAACCACAGTTATTGGGAGAAAAGAGAGTATTAAAACGGCGGTTAATAAGCCAGTCGTCACTGCAACTTTAGATTCACGCTTCAATTTCATGAGAGCGTTGACTTGACTGATTTCGTTTGTTTTCAAATTGCGTATTCCAAGGTAAACCTTTCGGTAGAAATATGCAATAAGTATTACACAAGCTGTCCATACAAAAGACCACACAGTTAACCAGGCGGCCAAAAATCTACTATCCACACCGAGCACTAACATCAAAAAGTCTGGAACCGACGGGAGAAGCGCTGAGAGCCAGGCAGCCGTAGCAAGGTTTTTGAGACGCCTTTTTGTGACAATAATCTTGTAGTTCATCCATTTTTGGATTGCCACGTACCTCTCCCAAGCAATAATAGTCAAGTGATGTAAGGTAGCTGAGAAGAGAAAGGGGCCAAAACAACGACTCGCCAACAGTAACGAGCACACATGCTCAAACGAAAGCCGAAGGAATATAAAGACATCAACAGTGATAGATAGCGGCATAACCGTAAGGCCGACTAGAAGATCTGTAACTGCCAAGCTGGACAACAAAATGTGTGGAAGGTTTTGCAGCTCTTTCCTTTGCTTTATGGCTATGATCACCAAAGCGTTTAAAAGAATGGTAGAGAGTGAAGCAATTAATGTCATGACGGCTATGATTAAGTGAAAATGGGAGTCACTTAAGTTCCATGATAGGTTTGGAGAATACCGGCAATAAAATGTGGAATTGGAAGAGTTGATGGTTGTTGCAGTGTTGCTCGGACGCATTTTGGTGTGGTATGAAGAAAGAACCTCTATTGGAGACCTACAATGACTGTACAACAACCTGCCGCCTTTGATCTGTCGCTTACAAGAACGACGAGTCTTCCGTTTTGAAGTCTTTCTGGTCCTTTAAACCTATAACGTTTAAGAATAAAACACGTAATATTTACCACTCGGAACCTCTTTCCTAAAATATATTTGTCACGACCATTTCCATATCAAGCCCATGTGTATTGGTTGTGAATTCTTTAAAAAATTCTTTCTAGCAAAATTTGACTTACTACAGATAAGACCAATTTTATTGATAGTCGGGGTTGTCGATGAGGCCAAAACATCAGAATAGACAAATTTCGATGTATCAAAATTCAGCCGAAAACAATAGACCTCAACACGAGGCTCCGGGGAATAAACCCCGCAAACTCTGTTTTTATTCCTCGGAGCCTCGCACTGCGGTCTATTGTTTTAGGCTGAATTTTAACATATCGAAATTGGTCTATTACAACAATGGACATGAAAAAGTCCTTATAGGAGAATAATTGCAACAACTTGCAGTTATTGTCTTAACTATTGCAAGTATCACTTTAGCTGGGTTGTCTTGCTCGTATTTCCATTTTACACCAAGCATGTAAGAAAAAATATCGTCCTTTAAGTTCATTCCCCAGTATTGCACTGTGCATCCCTACTGCGCATAATTTCACACGTGATTAGCGCGCGCGCATTA